CGCCAGACCCGGTGACTGAGGCGCAGGAGGACACAGCGCTGTGGTTTTCGAGCTCCTTTCCGCGGGATGGCGCTCGGCAGCAGCACTCAGCGTACTCTGATCCCACCTGGTGAGGACGCCGGGGAAAGAGGACCTCAGAGCTCTTCTGGAAGCGGCACGCAGGATGGGCTGAGTGGGCTCAAAGAGAGCAGGAGGGCTTGGGGGGGATTTGTAGCAGCGTGTCTTTTACTACAATAAAATTTTTAAATATAAGCTCTCACCATATATTTCAGTCACCCCTTGTGTCCTCTGTTCTCTTGACATCTTCAATTCCTTCTACCTAGAATGTTCTTTTCCTTCTTTTTCTCCTGAAAAACTCCTACACATGCTTCAAGACCCAGGCTGGCCTGGCCTCTTCAGGTAACCCTCATTCCAGACCCTTCTCCTGTGCCTGCCCTCCCTGCTCAAATTTCTGATTCTCTTGCTAGAGTGTGAGCCGCTCAGAAAGAGGGTGGTGCCTGGTTCTTTGGCGGAATACAGGCTGGACACTTAGGAGGCTCAGAGTACGTGTCTGAGGAATGAATAAAGTGATAACTTATCTCTGATTTCAGGCTGGGGAGTGAGTGAGATCACTTCCTCACAGCTCAAATCTCTTGTGCAGAGGTCACCGAAGCAATTCTGAGGTTTCTGAGAGGGGTCTGTTGTCCAACCGCGGGCAGGAACTGACCAAAGAGGGACAGAGCCCCTCTGGGCCCGTCCAGCTCGGGACACACGTCCCGGGGACACGGGGAGCCCCGAGGTCTGTTTGACCTTTTCGGCAATCAGGGACGTCCCCGCGCCGGGCCACGGAGCTGAGCCTCAGAAGGAGGAACCAGAGCCCCAGCCGGGGGTTTCCAACCTGCAAGGGCAGAGAGCAGAGCGGCTGAGGAGGGGGTGACACCCTCCACATAAAGGGAGGTGACAAATTCAGAAAACAAAACCCCTGCTCCGAAGCCCGCGCTCGGAGCTAAGCCGCAGCAAGGCAGGCTGATAAGAAGCAACAGGGCATCAACCTCGTCAACAGCGCGGCCACTTCCGTGTGTATCAGGATGGCGCGGCCAGGGGCACCGCCCACCTGACCTGGCATCGGGGCCTGGCGCAGCCCGGGGAGGTCCCGAGAGAGACAAGCTCCCTTTGACTAGATGCAGATGGCCCGGTGAAAAATGAGACCTGCCAGCCCGGCCGCCTTATCAGCGCAGAGGCCTGGCCCATCGCAGGCCGGCTAATGAGTCCTCCATACGCCGCACCGCGGCCTGCATCTCCCTCTGCCCGAGCACTGGCCCTGGGGCCTGGCACCGAAGGTGCCTGGCCTGGCCCCGGGTCAAGGGCTTGGGAAGAGGGAGCGGCTGGTGCAGCAGGGCGTCGTGCCACCAACCTGGCTGGGCTGTCGGTGTCCAGTGGGGGGCCAGCAGGGCCCAGAGGCTCCCCAGGCTGGACAGCAGTGGTGCCCCGCGTCAGAGACAGGCCGGACCTCCCTGTGCGCCCGGCCTCGCTGACCACACAGCGGTCCTGCGAGCGCGGCCCTGGAACCCACCTGACAGACAGCAGCGGAGCTCGCCCAGCTGGGTCTCGGTCGCCTCCTGCTGCCATGCAGGGAGCTGGCGAGCCTTTCCCTGTCAGGTAAGATGCAGGGGCCTCACAGAGAAGGCCATGCTTCAAGATGAATCTACAACTGTGGATTCTCAACAATCACATAAATTCATTTCAGGGACAGCCTTAGTTTTTACTTGCTTTGTGTGAGGTCCACAGGACTGTGGGCCTGGGCGACATCTGATGGGAGAGTCCCCCGGCCCCACCTGGCTGTGGCCTCCTCTCTGAGACCCGGTCACCCCATCCCCACCCTTCCCTCCTCTCGTCTACTCCCAGGGGGGTGGGAGGCGCTGGGGGAGACCCTGGGCCCTCGGGGCATACACTGAGGACTGTGCTCCCCAGCCCAGGGCTCTGAGGCTCAGGCACTGTTTCGGGGTTCCCGGGAGGGGTGCAGAGCCCTGCTGGGGCTCCTGCCTACTGGGAGACTGCCACACTGCTGCTCCTAACCTCTCCCAGGTGGCCCAGGCAGAGGTGAGCAGAGCAACGGCTCAGATGCACTAACAGACCCTTCCTGTCCTGCCGCTAGTGGTGGGAATGACTAGACGCGGGGTCAGCAGTGCCTCCGAGTCCACCCCAGCAGCTTCTCCCCAGGCACGCTGGTCCCCACCTGCAAACAGCAGCATCCAGGTCTCCTCAGGATGCACCTCATGTCCCCAGTTCTGGGAGCAGGGCAATACAGAACCTCTACCCCTACCAATTGCCCCAAGGTCATCCAAAGTCACGGCACCGAGACCCTGACCAGGATGGCTCCGTCCTTCCTGCGGGGGACCGTTTCCTGGGAGGCTGAGCTTCGGGGAGTGACGAATACCGGAGTTCTTGCATTTCTAGGGCTCGGAAAAGCCAGGATGGGGACACCTCCGAGGCCTCTCTGGCCTGGATGTAAGCACTCGCAGCGAGGCTGGCTGTGGAGGAGTGGCTCGCCCTGTCCGTGGTGCACGTCTCCATCCACGTCCCCTCCCACTACCCTCCTGTCCGGAGCAGGAGGAAGCAGGACGCTGAGCCGTCGTTGACCTTGAACTTTTTCAAATGCATTTCCCAATTTTTCCCTTTTATTGCTGTCCACTAACATCACACCGTGCCATTTCTCGAGTTCCGGTATTTAAAAGAAAATACTGATGGAAAACACATTTTACCAAGAGGTTATGCTGCCAGGCACAGGGGCCACATCTCTGGGACCCTGACCTCCAGCACCCCCAATTCCACAGCGCTGCTCCCTGGTCTTGGGGCCAGGGCCAAGAGGGGTGGACAGAGTGGCATCCGAGTCGCAATCGAGAAAGAACCTCAGCGAGCGGACACAAGAGCCAGGTGACCCCGGCCAGGCCACTTCCGCATCTGTGGGGTCCCCTCACCTTGGGGGTCGCACAACGGGGCACTGCAGGCCTCATGCACAGGCTCCACCCGTCCCTTGGTCCCGAGGGAGCTAAGCAGGCTGCCCTCAGCAGGCACACAGGAGCGCCCCTGGTGGGGACCCTGTCACCTGGGACAGGGCTCCACGCGCCTGGACCCCGTGTGCTGTCTGGGGTTGTGGCCACCACACGCTCGTCCCCCCACCGGCGAGGTGGCTTCCCCTGCAGGCACATGGCTCCGCCCTGCAGAGCCCTGGCCACCTTCACAGGGGACAGAGCTCACCGCCACCTGTCACCTGTCAGCAGGTACGGACTGAGCCACCCTCAGGCCTAGGCTCCCAGCAGTGGGGACCGCAGGATGGGGATGCAGATGCTCAGGCCCACCCGGGACTTCCAAACCAGCCTCACTCAGCAGGTGACGTCTGGGGACACCAAGGCCAAGAAGGTCCTCGAGGAGGGACGCAACCCCTCGGAGCCACCAGCGCGCCTGTCACACAGCCCAGACCAGCCCTGCCCGGCCTCCACGTCCTGCCTGTCACCAGGGTTGTGCCCGTCCTTACCTGGAGCCCCTTGAAGGGCAGAGAAGACAGGGAGCAGGCTCTGGCCAAGGGTGCAGATGGGCTGGGGAGCCTGGGGCAGTGGGAGGACCTGGGGGGGACACGCACCACTGCAGGCCCCAGAGCAGAGCCAGTGGGGACAGTGCAGCTCCAGCCTGGGCCCCTGAGCCCTGCTGCCCATGTCCCCTGACAGTGAAACCCACCAGTGTAGACCCGGTACTTGTAAAATTTTTTCTTTCTTTTGAGACAGGATCTTGCCATGCAGGTAGGCTGGCCTTGAGCTCACTATTATCCCAGCATGGCCTGGAACTCACAGTGACCCTCCTGCCTCAGCCTCCCAAGAGCTGGGATTACAGGTGTGCACCACCTGTCACCAAGCACTTTCAAAGCACATGGAGCACACAGATGTGGGCTCTGTGGTGAGGCTGGCAAGAAGCCCAGGTCCCCTCAGCTCGAGGTACAGGACATGCATGTGGTCACCTGACAGCTGACCTCAAGGTGTGGGGAGCAGTCTTCTTGGACAGCTTCTCACAGGCCTCTGCCAGCACTGGCTGTTCTCACACGTTTAAGCCTTTAGCCCTCACTACGACCCCAAGGCAGAGGCGCTTGTCCTCCTGTGGAGAAGGAGATGGGACTGGGGGTGAACCTAGCTGCTCTACTGTCTAAAGGCCACAACTTCCAGCCAGCGCGCGGCCGGGCAGGCAGAGCCAGGCTCCCGGGACAGGATGCACCTCCGCGCCGATCTCTCTGCCACTAGCCCACAAGCGCCCTGCTTGTCCTGAGCTTCTGCAGGGAACGCTGTCTCTGGCAGGAAAAGATAAAGCCGACCACATGAGTCACACGCTCACTGTAGTTAACAGTGATGCGAGAGCCAGATGCCAGCAGGGGGCCTCCGGACGGGACCCGGCAGCCCGGGCCGGGCGACCCCTCAGCACGGAATAGGTCTTGGTGTGGTCAGGACTGCAGGAAGGAAATGGGGGCACCGAGCCCCGGGATCACAGGGCGGCACGAGCTCATCTCCTGTGGACACCCGGGGAGCCACGCAGCAGGCCCGGCTCGGCTCTGCCTTCACCCGCAGTGCCCAGGGGCTGGGAGCCGGTCCCCACCGCGGAGCCAACCTGTGGCAGCTAGCGCAGCTCAGCACAGACGGCGGGAACTGGGGGCCCAGGTGGAGCGCTCTCCGGAGTCCACCTCCCACCAGCACTGCGGGTCACCCCTGCCCGTGTGGACAGGAAGCAATGCCTGGTGAGCCGGCAGGACAGACCCAGCTCAGGGTGCCGCTGCCCCACCCTGCGAGCACGGCTGCTGCAGGGTGAGGGACTGGGACACTCGCTGCTGCTTCCGGGGCAGCCAACTCCCGAGTCCTGAAGAGCGGGCGGACAGTGGTCGGGGCCCTCACAGGCCCTCGGCCTGGGCGACCTTTTCCTACCTGTGGAGAAGAGAGGCAGCTGCTCAAGGCAGGAACACAACAGGCTGAGAGTCCCGTCACTGGCTTTTTGAAGAGACTTTAATCAGAGCAGTGTGAGAATGCAGGTTACAAGCTTAGTGTCATCATCAGTATGCCGTTAAGATCAACACTGACAGTGAGGCCTAGTATTTATACACTTCCTAAGTTAGTCATCGAAGAGGAAATCATCATCGGATCTATATTTACACAGTATGTTCAAGCAACAGCAAATAATATACTCCTGCCCTTAAAAGACAAAACAACACACACGCTCAAACACACACACACACCCTACCACCAGTGGCCACTGACTCCCCCAACTGGAAGTCTCCCCACGTCCGTGTGCCCCCAGCCACCCGTTACTCAAGAACGGCCTCCACCGTGGAGCCCTGGGCCAGCCTCCATTTTCTTTCAAAGTCACTTAAATTTTACAGCTTGAAGCCACTCAGCCAGTGTGGTCTGCACACTCTAAGGGCACCCCAAGTGACAAAGGGAGCCCCGCTTCTTTGTGTGAGGATTTCTGTACATCTCTGATGACTAAGTCAAAAGAAAAATGCTGAAACGGAATCTGCAAGCAGCTTCCTATGGGGCCGTGCTGAAGTGAGCGCTGCGCTAACCAGTTGGCTCCGATGCCTTCCGGGCTGCCTGAGACGCAGGAGCGCAGAGCTGCCTCCTGCTGCCTGGGCTGGCAGCCCGCCTGGCCGGGAGTTGGTGGAGACCCGCCCGCCGCTTCACTGATTTATTTCTCGCTGTTAGTAAATGGAAACCATGACGACGTTTACATTAGCAGACACGGACACATGCCCTGGCCTATAAATATCCCAGGAGAGGAAACCATACAATCACGCCATTCCTAGTGAAAATGAGCCTAAAGGGAGAAGGGCACCTTATCAGCAATGGTTCTGACAGCGGAAAACCCCAACCAAGTGGCATCACGCTTTTCTCGGCTGGGATGCAGAGGCCACCTCCCTCCAAGGGCCTCCAGGCCAGCTAAAGGCTGGCAGAGCAAAGACAGCTCCTCTGGCAAACCTGGGGGTCTGGGCGTCTGGGGTCTGGGGAGCCAGATGCGAGGGGAGGGGCAGCTCCAGGTCCTCCTCAGAGAGGTGAGGGAGGAGGGAGCTCAAACGCACAGCCGGAAGCAGCTCGGCCCGGCCGCAGCGCTGTCTGTCCGCTCAGAGCGCCAACTGCAGCTTGGTCATGTTCCTCTGGTGCATGTTGTGGTGGCGGACGAGCTCGTCGGAGCGCGCGAACTTCTTCTGACAGCTCGGCCACCGGCAGCTGAAGGGCTTCTCACCTGTGGGCACAGAGCCGGTCAGGGGTGGCAACGCCAGGAGACCCGCACAGGTGCCGAGCGCACCCCTGGTCAGTCTGCACCAGCCGGGGCTCCGTCTGTGGCTGGCTGCGTGGGGCCAGAGGGACTGGACGCCATCACTGGTCCCCTGTGCCTGTCTCACTCCCGTACTCGGAAGGCCCAGGACCCAGGTCTTCCCCCGAGCCTGCTTCTCCCAAGGGTCAGGATCAGCTTACTCCATGCTTGGTCTACGCCGAGCCCTGCACTGCGTGGGCCCAGTCCTATGTTGCGCGTCCCTGGTGTCCACGCGCAGCTGAGGAGGAAAACGTCACCCCGCGGCCCCTCTGTCCTCTGTCGCCTCCCAGTCCCGAAGGCCCTCTGCTGCCTGAACGTCTCCTGGACACTGCTATCTCTGACCCCTGCTCAGGACAAGCAGGGCAGACGTGCCTGGCACGTGGTTCCCTGGGTCCGAAGACAGCGTCCACTGCTGGTGACCCGGCCACTTCTGCCACAGGCAGGGGCCGGCACCCAGGGATAGCGTCTTCCCCAGGCATGGTGTGCTCAGGACAGTCAGGGAAACGGCAGAGGGGGCGCAGGACGCCGTCCCTGTGTGTGCCAGGGGTGCTGAGATCTGGGCCCCCACTGTCCGGACCCGGCTTCCACCCTCACTCCACCTCCTGAGGGACAAATCCCAGGCCTGCTCCTCTGTCACCTCTGGCCCTTGCTGGCCCTGCCTGTCCCCCACTGCTGTCCTTGCCGGGTTGCTGTAGGATGCACGCCTTTCCCCAACAGGGAGGACTGAGCATCCCACTCCCTAGCTCGGGGCTTGGGAAGTCACCTGACCACTGCGCGCCTCAGTCTCCCCATCAGTGAAACGGAAGTGAAATCCACCTCCTTGGCCTTGATGCAAAGATAACTCGAGATCACACGCAACGTCTGTCCTTCCCAGAGGCAGAAAATGCACAGGGCACTGCCGTCCTTGGGGGCCACAGGAGCCTGGCGGGGGGCAGTGAAGCCCTTCACCAGCCGGGGGTGAGGCGGGGCCGAGGGAGGGCCTGGTTGGCAGCCGGGCCATGGGGCACGGGAGCTCCGGCCTGGCCTGCTGGAGCCTCCGCTTCCCCCAGGCTGCCCAGTCCCGGGCAGCAGGACCTGGTCTCCCCTCCCTCACACCCTCCGCCCCACGTCTGGAGATGGAGGGCGTCGCGCTTCCACTCAGTCAGGGGCACACGCTGCTGCGAGTCCCTCCCAGGCTCTCCGCACACACAGCCGCACCCCACTGTCGCTCACCAAAAATAAAGAAAAATAAAAGTGAAGAAAAGTTTACGCACTTGTTTTACCTGTATGAGTCCTGGTGTGGGTCTTCAGGTGGTCGGAGCGGGAGAACTTTCGCTGACAAGTTTTACACTGGAATGGTTTCACACCTAGACGGACAGAGAAGGTCTGGCCTCGGCCCTAACATGCGGCCACAGCGAGCCCTGGGCTGGCTTCGCGGCAGCTGGAGGCGCCCGGCTGTCAGCCACACCTGCAGTGTCCGCAGCACCCCCGGCCCAGAGGCGACTGGGCCCCGAGGACCTGCTTCTGTCCTGGGAACCACCGTTCCTTAGCCTGGACACCCAATTCTCTCGGCGGCGGCTCTCGGCCAACCTGGAGCCTGAAGCCCTGAGAGTCGGTTCTGCTGTGCTTCAGGCTCGGGCCACTGTCACCAGCCCTTCGCTGGGGCCCTGCGCCAGCTGGGCTGTCCGGGAGAATCTGGACACTTCCTTTTCTTTCCCTTCTTTTTTTTTTTTTAAGAGAAGGAACACCTCCAGGTGAAAACAGAGGTATTGGAAAAACAAAACTGATGCTGACCCTCTCGTCCACATTCAACAAGGAAGAGAGCTGAGCAGCAACCCTAACCCCAGGCAAGGCGGCAGCCGGCCACAGAAGGGGCCCACAAACCTGTGTGTCTCCTCTGGTGCCTTTTGAGCTGGTCAGAGCGCGAAAACCTTCGCTCACAGTCCTTGAAGTCACACTGGTACGGTTTCTCACCTTGGGGAAGACACCATTTACATTCTATTTGAGACAAATGTGCTCCTGCAAATGTGGCTCAACCTCTCCTACGGGGACAGCAGGGCCCAGGCCCGGGGCAGGGGCAGGACAGTGATGCAGCTTCTGCAGAGGAGACAGAGCACCGGGCACCCTCATGGGCTCGGGCCAGGGGCCAAGGGTGCCCCACCCAGCTCCGCCTTTACAGCACCAGGAGGGGCCAGCTTCCTCCTTGCAAAATGGGCCAGAATCTGACTGGCACAGGCTCAGGGACACAGTGAAGTGTCAGGGCACAGTTAGGCAGAGGGCAAAGAAGCTGACTCATGGGCTGAGTTTGGTAGAGTCCTGGGGGTGGCCCTGCCGTGGGCCCCCTGTTTCACGGCCCCAAGACTTGGCATCCTCTGCTGCTGACTTCTCACTCCTGCATTGAGCATGGTCACGACCTGGTGGGCCACGGGACCTCACCAGGAGCAGGAGCGAGCATGCAGGGCAGCTGTGTCCCTCCCTCCACCCCAGAGAAGCAGGCATGGCCTGTACAACCCAGCCCTGTCCTCCACAGAGGGAGCCCAGCCAGCACCTGGAGCTGAGCCCGAGTGCACACAGCTGAACGGAGAAGTCTGACTAAGATCCTGGGCAGACAGCAAGCCACCCCGGGGCACCGGGCATCCCCTCTCCCTGGCCCCAACCTCCTGACCTGTCTGTAGCCTGCTCCACTCCGGTGGCCTCATGATCCCCAAGTCCTCCTGCACTCAGCTCACGCTGAGCACCTCTGTCCCCATGCCCCCTGACGCCCCACGAACACCGTGCGTGGAGCAGCACGGTTAGCCCAGAGCCTCCCTTCCCTCCCCAGACTGCATCCCTGATCGTCCCCCAGGGGCCCTGCCTCTGCCTGCGCCCCTGTGTCGCCTGGATTTCCTGGGCTTCACGTTCATGCCGAGCCTGGCCTCAGCTGCCCGTGTGCAGCCCCAACCCACTCCCTGCTCACCCCTCTCGCCTGCCACCCGTGCCCCCCGCCCGGCCCCTCATCCTTCCGCGCTTGCAGAGGGGCTTCAGGGCTGCTGACCCTCCTGGCTCACGCCGCCTTCACTCCGCTCCACCCGGCCTCTCTCTGCCCCACACTGCCGTCCGCGCGGCCCCTACGTTTCCAAGGCCGCGGTCCTCGATGGTTCCTCTAACCGTGATGGGTGCTCTTCAAGGGGTCCCCTGGGAGCATGGGCACAGCACGGTTCCACGCGCACAGTGTGACGTGCAGGACAAGGGCAGTAGGGCTCGTGAGGCTGCCCTGCAGCATGGGAGACCAGCCGCGGCTGCCTCGGGACCCAGCCACACCCAACCCGTGTCCCCAGAGTGGCCAGGCCAGGCCAGCACCATCCCAAGCCGACGCCTGGACTGGGGCCCGTTCCCCTTGACACATCATCCGACATCGTGTCTCCGTCTCCCGGGGCTGCTGAGATCGATCCGACCACAGGCTGTCCCCAGCGCACAGCCCTCCCGCCATCTCTGGAAGCTGTCCCAGGGCCCCGCCGCCCCGCAGCCCAGCACTGTGCCACGGCCCTTCTCCGGCCAGAGGGCCAGGAGGACCCGAGCCTGAGACAGCCCTGTGCCTCTTGGGCTCAGACTCGGGCTGCGTCTACGCAGGCGCCCTCACCTCTGAGCCCGCCCGGAGCCTCCCCTGCTGTTGAAGCCAGCACTGCGGGCTCTGGCTCCACGCAGCTGCCTGCAGGGCCATCTGCCTGCCCTGAAGCAGGCTCCCTGGGCACTTTCACAGCTGGCCTCACAGCCACCTGCCTCCCGCCAGGCGAGCGCTCCTCACCCGTGTGCTTCCGGCTGTGCATCTGCAGGTGGGACAGCTTGAAGTACCTCTTGTTGCAGCCTGGGTAAGCGCACATGAAGGGGCGCTTCTCACTGCTCTCAGAGGCCGACCGGACCAGTGTGGGGGTCACACCGGGCACGCGCCTCACGTCCTGGGCAGAGGCGGAGGACAGAGGCCGTTAGCTGGACACCATCCCCTGGCAAGCAGGGCTCCATCAGTCGCTGAGCAGGGACGATGGCCCCAGCCCATGAAGCCCAAGGCCCAAGCCCAGCACAGACCCTGCAGGGGGCGCAGAGGGACATTCCAACCCGCCCCACACAGATGTCAGAGTCAGCTGGAATCCAGGCCACGAGTGCAGCCCTCTGGGGCTGCCACACAGCGCCTCAAGGAAGCAATGTGGTGTTGGGGACCCCCACGTGTCCCACTCAGAGACCACCTAACACCCTCGTCCAGCCCACCGTGGTGCGGACGTTCTTGTTAGAGGACAATGTGAGCTGCCAAACTCGCCCCAAACTGACCAGACCCTAGTGCATGCAGGATGCAGATGCAGGAGCCCTGGGCCAGGGCCGTCTGTGATGCCACACCGCGGCCAATGCGGCCTTTAGTGGTGACACCAGGAAACACGGGGACCGTCCATGTCTTTCCAAGGCACGGGTGGGTCCCTTTCTGGGGGAAACTGAGTCACGGGGGCACTGGCCCCCATTCTGTCACAGACACACAAGCCAAGCCCACAGTGGTGACCGCAGTGGTGACGATGGGAGCAGGTCCGACGCCTGGAAGCCGCCCCACTCTGCCCAGGCTCCGATTTCTCTTTTTTGGAAGAAACGGTAAACTTCAGTGTGCACAGCCCGGGAGTGTCCCAGTGTCCCAGGGCCAGTGTGGCCTAAAGTGGCACGCTGAGCCAGCGGGACCCCAAGGTGGGACCCAAGGAGACACTGGGCAGTGGGGGCCCCAGCTGGCCCGGGGATCTGAGCAGCTTGGTGAGGAGAAGGCAGGGGGCACCTCTCACTTCCTGTCCTTGGCGCGACGCACATGTGATTGGGACCTAAACTAGAGCTGTTCTCCCAGTGGCTGTGCCAGGAAGGGTGCTGGGGCGGAGCCAGGGTGCTCTCCGAACTTGACCCGCGCAGCCACGCTTCCGTGCCTCCGCCTCCTCAGGGCAGTGCGACTTGGGACAGGGAGACTCAGATCAGAACGTGTGGGAGCTGAGCGCCCCACCTTCGGGCCCAGTGCCCGGTCCACAGCCTGACGCTCCAGGGCACCACGCCCTGGGACAGGAACACAGCTGTCACTCGGTGCGGCCACCGAGTCGCATCTGCCAGTGACTCAGCCCCCAGGTGGCTCTGACTGCCCCAGAGGCGCTGGGTGCTCTGGGACTTTCGTGTGCCGACTCCCCTCTCCTCCCCGTCCCAAGCGGCCAGCTGCCGTGGAGGGAAGGGTCCCTGATGCCCGGCCGCCCAGCTGGGGCTCCCCCCAGAGAGGCCCGTGGGCCACCCAGCAGGGAGGCAGCAGAGGTAGGCGTGCCCAGCGCTCACCTGGATGCCCCGGAAGACGCCGTGCGTGTGGATCCGGTACTGGGCGCCGCATAGGATGGGCGTCGTGTGGCTCTCGCTCTCGTACCCTGCGCTGTGGCTGTGAACACAGAACAGCGAGGTGGGCTCAGCCCGGCCCACAGCAGCCCCCCGCAAGTGCTCCTCTGTGCCGGAAGCAGAGATTGCCTAGAAGACACGGGGCAGAAGCAGCTGGCTCTGCCCCCGCCCTGGGCCTTTGCTGTGGACGCCTCCTGACAGTCACCGCCGGCTCCTGCAGGCACTGCCTGGCCGGTGCTGCATTTGCACCAGCTGGGAAGGGCCAGGGCAGGGCCTCAGCCAGGCAGGCTGCTCGCCATCACGAGCATCTCAGCAGTGAGGAGGCTGGGGCTCAGAGGAACCACGCTGAGCACCCGTCAGTACCTTGTGACTCGGTTCCTCCCAGGCGGCACCAAGAAAGGGAGGGCACTCACCGAAGAGCTGCCTGGTCCTCAGAAGCGGGGCCGCCTCTGTGGCTCCCTCTGCTTCACACCCCACCCCCCAGCTTTCCAGATCCGCTGTGCCCTCTGGGGCCAAGCGGGGTCACAGGCCAGCCAGGGTCCGCTCCCCAGCCCAGCCTGACTCGGCCCCAAGGGAGCTCGGGGCACCTACGGCCACCTGCATGACGTCCGCTGTCCTGGGTGTAGCTGTGAGCTGCCCTGCACCATCTCATCCCCACTGGAGGCGGAGTGAGGCCCTGGAGTGTGCTACAATTCCCGGCAGAATCGCCACGGAGCGATGACGAAATGGTGCAGCTGCACTGGAAAACATCTGGCAGCCCCTCAGAAAATGGACATAAAGTCACCACATGACCCAGAAACCCTGGGTCGACCCCAAGAAGAGCGAGTACAGAGTCCACACAAAGCCCTGCATGCGACATGGCTCACCAGTGGCCTCACAGGGAAGAGCCAGAAAGCAGATTCAACCAAAGGTCAACCAGCTGACAAGTCAAACACAAAACGCAGTGTACGAGCACAAGGGACTATTATTTGGCAATAAAAAGGAATGAAGACCTGACACATGCTCCAACCTGCAGTTAAGCGGAAGAAGCCAGTCATGAGGATACGGATCGTCGAGTTCCACTTACACAAAACATCCTGAAAAACCAAATCGGCCAAGATACGTGGTTACCAGGGTCTGAGGGGGCTGGCGGGACGCGGACAGTGACACTACGATGTCCAAGAACTGGGCCAGGGTCGCACCAGGCTGTGAATGCACTGGAACCGCTGCACTGCAGACTAAAGGAGAAGACTGCATGGCTACACCAAGCCAATGAAGTTCCTTTCCAGAAATGTTCTCTAGCCAGTCCTGGAGGGCCGGGCCTCTGGAAGCACTCTGGAAGGCAGAGGCAGCAGGACTTCAAGCTGGAGCCCAGCCTGGGCAACCTAAGAAAACTCAGGAGACCCTGTCTGAACATATTATACAAGTGAGGAACGGGCTCGACGTGCACCTCAGAGGGAAAGTCTCCAGGACCACACCAGCTGGTCAGCCATGAACCGACCCTGGGGATCGGGCCATGCACACACTGGCCTGGCTGTGGGGCTCGGAACTCCATTCTCTGCCTCTGTCGCTGTAGTGGTTCCAGGGTCCCGAGGGAGACGGGGCTCGGCAGAGTGCGACAGGGAGGGGAGGGCTGGGGCTGGCTCGACTCCCATCCCCGGGAGACGCCCTCCTGGAGGGAGAGGTGTCCCAGGACCCCGCCTGTCCACGCGGCCCAGGCCACAGCAGCTACAGAAAAGGTTTCGCCTTCAGTCTGCATCCAGGCATTTTAGGAAGAACAGCCTATCTGCCCTGCAGAGTTTGGGGACACGGGTGGCAGGTCCGTGCCCCTGCACAGCCTGCTCCGCTGACCCTGACAAATCCTGAGGAGAGGGGCTCAGGGCTAAGCCAGCACCAAACTTGCACAGACTGGGAGATGCGAATGCCAGCAAGCTCCCCTCCCTCAGGATGTGCTCGAAGGAAGTGAGGCTAGGGAAGTGACCAGGATGCCGAGGCCACTTGGCTGCAGAGAAAGAACACAGCCAGCATGGGGCATCCCGGACTCTGCACTGCGAGGGCTTTGAGGAGGAGCTGCCCTGACCTGGTCCCAGCAGAAACCGAGGACGGTGCTGGCAGTGGTCCAAGTGTGAAGCACCCCCAGGGTGTCAGTCAGTGAGGGCTTGGTCACAGTGCACCAGTGCTTGGGGTGGGCCGGGACAGGGGACTGCGTAGGAGGCTGCTGACTTGCTGTTAGGATTTGGATCTAGATGACCCCAGACCTCATGAATTCCAGGCGGGACCTCTGAAGGTGACTGCTTTGTGGGGGCTCATAGGTGACTTGCCGTTAGGAGGCGGAGGCTGGTCAGAAGAGGCAGTCACTGTGGGCATGGCCTGGACACTTCCAGCCCCTTCCCTTCCCTCTGCTTCCTGGTCACCATGACGTGAGCAGCTCTCCTCCACCCAGGCCATTCCATCATGCTGCCCTGCTGACCATGGACTGAAGTCTCTGAGACCGTGAGCCAAATCAACCTCTCCTGTAAGTTGCTGGTGCCAGGTATTCTGTCCCAGTGATGAGAAGGTGGCTCACTTGCTGAGCTCACAGCAGAAGGGACTACTAGGAAGTAGAACCGGCAGAAGGAAGCAGGCTGCAGGACGATGCCTTGGAGGGTGTATCTTATCCCTGGCCCCTTCTCCCTCACGGTTTCCCAGCTGCCAGCTTGCCTTTAACCCCCATTTCTACCTTGACGTTTCTGGTTCACCACAGTCTATGGCAATGGAGTTGGCAGACCATGGACTGACACTGTGAGCCCAAACAAGGCTTCTTGCCCCAAGTTACGACCCTTAGGTATTTGGCCTCAGCGCTGGAGAGCTACTTCAGTCACCTACGACAACCCCACTCCAAGCAGGAACCTCTTCCAGCTCATGCCCAGCAGCTGGCTGACATGACAAAGACTTCATTTCCATCTGGGAAGAGTTCCAGTTAGCAAAGGCCTTTCCAAACTGCGCTGAAACCAGCCTGCTTCTGCCTCCTGGTGAGCACAAATCATATGGCTGGTCACAGCCAGCTCTGGTGTCTCCTCTGCTCCACAGAAACCTGGCCTTGAGCACAGAGACTCCTTGGCCCTCTTGGCCTCCAGCCACAGGGACTGCAGCAGGCACCAGTCAGACACCCAAGGCGGTCTGGGGCTAACCCCACCTCCACCTGGCGACCCTTCCTTCCAGGTCCAAGTTCGCCCTCGGGGGCCTCTGCTGTGCTCTCCCAACTGTGACAGGTGCACTTTGTCCCCCGGTGTCTTCCTCCTGACCCCCTCATGCCTCTAAGTCCCTTTCACAGGATGGCGTCCATGCTGTAGGAGATGCCGCCACAGGGCACCAGTGGGGGCCATCCACCACACAGGCGCCTCAGGACAGTGTGCATCCCATCTGCGGGTTTCCCTCCAGCACCAGCGAGCCCTGGGCCACAGATGCCGGCTTCTCCTCAGGCAGAGGGCTGGGGCCACCTGGTGCAGTGTGGCCAGAGCGCCATTAGCACGCCCAAGTGCAAACCACTCCTTTGCACTGGGCCCAGGCCCGTCCTGCATCAAATCATGCCCCACCCCAGGCCAGGCACGAGCTGTGGCAGGTGTCCCAGCCCTGAGCTTGGAGGCCCAGCTGCTTCAGCCAGAGCTCAGGACCACAGATCCGTTCTTCAGACCCCACTCTGTCCTGCAGCGAGCTGTCCCTGATGGCCAGATCCCTCTGGCTGTGGATCTGCTGTTTTCCACCCCATCTTGTGCCTCCTCCAGGCCTGCAAAGCACCTTCTCTGAGTCCTCGGAAGAGACAGTGGTCTCCCTTGCTGCTCCGGAGCCCGTCTTATTGACAAGGCAGATGGAATAGGCTTCCATGATACTCAGAAGGGACAGGAGTCCAGGTCTCTCCACAACAACCTGGAGAAGCCATCCAGGAGAACCCAGGCCCACAGGTGGCCCCGCCAGCTACGGAACATGTCAGTCGCCATCAGGAGCTGAGAAACAAAGGCTCAAGGAGGAGACAGCAGCTGCCAGGGCAAAGCCGCTGGCTCAGATGGTCGCAGGAAGACAAGCCGCACCTGAGAAAGAAGCACCTTTAACATGCCCAGGACATGGACAGGAGGTTGGAGCCATTAGTCCTTCCAAATGGCAAGGTACCACCAGCCAAGAAAGCACACTTCTAGGGACAGAGATGCACTGCAGGTAAGAGAATTCACGGAGCCCCGACAATCAGAATGACCCAGCGGCAGAAGCAAAGGACACCATGGAGTGACACCAGAAAGCAGGCCAACCAAGGGCCCAGGCCTTGATCAGGGTGGAGCTGCAGGTGAAGCCTCAGCCACCACCAACCCTGATCCCGAGAAGGGACACACAGAGGCCAAAGCCAGCCTTGGCACCCCGCGCTTTCCCAGAGTGGGAAGCGGGTACTTTGTGCGTCACTTCCACATGGCTGCCTCGTACGTTTCCTCCTCTTGAATGTTAAGATACCGAGTCAGCCAAAGGACAGGGAGAGGGAACTTGAAGACTCCAAGATAAGCAGGAAGAGCTGAGGGCTGCCTCACCCATGGCTTGAGCTCCACTGCTCAACCACAGGTGTCCACGCACACAACCACCAAACACCTTTTCCAGTCAAAGGCTGTACTAGTGAACTTCCTCTCCGGGCGAGTAATCCCACCACCCAACGGAGTGGCCGTGGGGCTGTGCTCACCTCACCAAACAACTCCGGTTCCTAATGACTGATTGGTTTTCTTCCCCTGGACCCCCACCCCTGGCCTAAAACCTTTCCCAAGAACTCAGCTAACTCACCGCTCTGTGGTCTCTAAAATCAACTGGGTTTTCTGCTCCTTGAAAACCAAGACACTCACCTGTCTCGCCTCTGCCATCACCTCTCTCGTCTTCCATGAATTCCTGGATTATTGGCCAAGTAGGAAATTATTCCATGAAAGAATATGGATTACATTCTTTTTTTATTTAAAGCAGAGCCACAAACTCAAACATTCCTCCAGAGTCCAAGTTAGTGAGAAAAATAAACGAAGAAAGCCCTAAGGGACAAGACAGCCTTAAATAGCAGGGATA